ACCTCAACGCAGCACTTCCATGAGCGGGTCCTCTACCAGCTGGGGAGGTTCTGCTCCACGGCAGGCTCCACGATGCCTCTTACGTGGAGCCACCAGCACGTCTCCCATACCCCCCCGTCCAGGAGACGATGCCGGCGCCCATGGCCTCCAGCATCAGTGGCTTCTGCTCCTTCCCAATCGGGTGCTGCTGGAATTCGTTACTGGGGTGAAGGAGTTGCTCGTCGTTCCTTCTTCATAGGGTGACAGCGGCGGTCCCCTCATGTGCCGGGACAAGGGCGCCAACTTCTATTGGGTTGTGGGGCTGACGAGCTGGGGCCGCGGCTGCGCCAGGGTGAAGCAACCGGGGATCTACACCTCGACGCAGCACTTCCATGAGTGGATCCTCCACCAGCTGGGGAGGTTCTGCTCCATGGGAGCACCCACGACACCCCCGACGTGGAGCCACCAGCACGTCTCCCATACCCCCATCCAGGAGACAATGCCGGCGCCCACAGTCTCCAGCATCAGTGGCTTCTGCTCCTTCCCAATCCGGGTGCTGCTGGAATTCATCACTCGGGTGAAGGAGCTGCTGCAGGCCCTAAGTGGGGAGAAGATTTGAGGAGCGGCATCGCTTGCAGTTTCCTCAAGCTTCAGTAAAGTTGCTTCTTTTCCTTGTAGAGAGGATGCTTCGCATGCCCATCTCTTCTTCTCATCCATGGGGAGGGATGGGTATGAGGGATGGTGGGCAGGGAACAGTGGGAAGCAGGGGCTGGGAATCACGGTATCAACCAGGTTCGGAAGGACCTTCAGGAGCATCAAGTCCAATCATTGTCCCACCATTAAAACATGGCATGAAGGGGGAGGGGGGACAGCTTCCATTAAACCAGGTTGCTCCAAGCCCCATCCATCCTTCTCCATCCAACCCATTCCAGGGTCCCAGCACCCTCACTTCCTTACATCTCCAACCTGAACTTCCCTGTTCCAGTTGGAACCCATCACCCCTTGTCCTGCAGCTCTAATCCCTGCTCTTCCACTCCCTCCCAGCTTCACCACGGACTGGTTCGTGATGGTCGGAATCACGGACCTGGCTCAGGCCAATTCCGAGACCCAGAAGCGCTGGATCCGGCAGGTCGTGGTCCATGAATATTATACCAGCGCCTCCAGCGGCTTCGACATCGCCTTGCTGGAGCTGGACCAGCCGGTGCGGTGCGGGTACCACGTGCAGCTCGCCTGCCTGCCCGATGCGACGCTCAGGGTATCCCAGCTGTCCGAGTGCTTCGTCAGCGGATGGGGCGCGAGGGGGAGGCCAGAAGTGAGTGCCCGACGGCCCCGTTGGCCTTGGAATGCCGGGTCATGGATTCACGGAATGGGGTGGAAGGGAGGGTAAAGCTCATCCGGGTCTATTGAGGTTGCTCTGACTGGGGATGCAGCATCCCAGCCTTCTCCATCCAACCCATCCCAGTGTCCCACCGCTTCCTTCTCCCCAAGCTGAGCATCCCTGGTTCAGTTGGAACCCATCACCCCTTGCCCCATCGCTGAAGGTCCCTCCATGTCCTCCTTATGTTGAGGATGCAGAGCAAAGGGGATGCAGCCCAGGCCGTAGGGGGTGTTGATGGCTCCCATGGAGCTTCTCACCCCGATACCCCCAAATCCATCCCTTGTCCCCCTAATCCTGACCCCTTTTGTGTCCCCACAGCGGGGGCATCGTCCCCATCAGCCCTGCAGGAGGCCAAGGTCCGCCTCATCGATGTCAACCTCTGCAACAGCAGCCAATGGTACCGCGCGGCCATCAAGAGACACAGCCTCTGCGCTGGGTACCCGCAGGGTGGCATCGACACCTGCCAGGTAGGGATGTGCCATTGGGGCTGCCTTCTCCTCTCCCATCTGCAGGGCCTTGCTCTGCATCCTCCTTTATCCCAGCTTCGGAAGCGCATCCGGCTCCTGGGCCATCATCCCTGCGCAGGGACCATAGAGGTTGGAGCTCTAAGAGCATTGAGATTCCACCACTAAAGCATGTCAGGAGCATGGATTCACGGAATGGCTTAGGTTGGGAAGGAGCTTAAAGCATCCAGTTCTAAGCAAGGGGCAGGGACGCCTTTCATGAGAGCAGTTTGCTCCAAGCCCCATCCATCCTTCTCCATCCTACCCGTCCCAGTGTCTCACCACCCTCATAGGGAACAATTTCTCCTTATCTCCAACCCAAATTCCCCTGTTCCACTTGGAAGCCATCACCCCTCGTCCTATGGCTCCAATCCATGCTGTAGGTCCCCCTCCACACCCAACTGATGAAGGAGAACCCTTCCATCCCCATGGGCTGACAGTGGTGGTCCCCTCTGGCATTGCCGTGGCGACCCATCCCCATTCTCATCCTGGCTCCTTCTCCTCCATAGGGTGACAGCGGCGGTCCCCTCATGTGCCGGGAGAAGGGAGCCAACTTCTACTGGGTTGTGGGGCTGACGAGCTGGGGCCGCGGCTGCGCCAGGGCCAAGAGACCGGGGATCTACACCTCGACGCAGCACTTCCATGAGTGGATCCTCCACCAGCTGGGGAGGTTCTGCTCCATGGGAGCACCCACGACGCCCCCGACGTGGAGCCACCAGCACGTCTCCCATACCCCCGTCCAGGAGACGATGCCGGCGCCCACGGGCTCGAGCATCAGTGGCTTCTGCTGCCTCCCAGTCCGGGTGCTGCTGGAATTCATCACTGGGGTGAAGGAGCTGCTGCAGGCTCTAAGCGGGGAGAAGATTTGAGGAGCGGCATCGCCTGCAGTTGCCTCAAGCTTCGGTAAAGTTGCCTTTTTTTCCCATAGAGAGGATGCTTCGCATGCCCACCTCTTCTTCTGGTCCATGGGGAGGGATGGGAATGAGTGCTGGAGGGCAGGGATCAGTGGGAAGCAGGGGCTGGGAACCAGGGAATCAGCCAGCTTGGGAAAGACCTTCAGGAGCATCAAGTCCAATCATTGTCCCACCATTAAAACATGGCATGAAGAGGGAGGGGGAGAGCTTCCATTAGACCAGGTTGTTCCAAGCCCCATCCATCCTTCTCCATCCAACCCATTCCAGGGTCCCAGCACCCTCACTTCCCACTTCCAGTCTTGGGACCTTACTTAGGACCTCATAAGCTCCCAAGGCTGTATCCATCCCAGCACTAAGCACCCATCCCAGCACCCTTTGGACCTCTCCGGAATCCCAGCACTGGGGTCCTCAGTGACAGGAGCAGGTACTGGGGTCAGGGCTTACCCTTGTCCATGTCACTGGGTCCCCATTAACCCCTCATCCCATTAAGATCCTATGAAGATCCCATTAGGGCCCCATTAATATCCCAAGAGGATTCCATTAGGACGCCATTAATATCCCAAGAGGATCTCCTTAGCACCCTATTAAGATCCCATTAAGACCCCATTAATATCCAATTAATATCCCATCAGTGTCCTTTTAGGATCCCATTAATATCCCATTAGGAGCCCGTTAATTGCCAATTAGGAGGCCATTAGGACCCCATTAAAATCCATTAAGACCTCATTCATATCCATTAAGACCCCATTAAGATCCCTTGAGGATCCCATTAGGACCCCATTTATATCCATTAATATACCTTTAGGACCCAGCAGCTATTATGGGAGCTCTTATGGGGGGGGCTTACAGGGGGTTTGGCAGCTCCCATCGGGGGGTTCCATGGAGGGGTTCCCATGGTGTGATCCCAGCACCCATTGGTTGGGGTCTCATGGGAGAACCCGGGGGGGGGGGGTTCCCAGTATCCATTGGAGGGGTTCCACGGGGCGGGGTCCCATAGAAGGGTCCCATGGGGGGAGGTCCCAGCCCCATTGGGTGCTGGGGGGGGTCTCAGCTCGCTCGCTGACCCGGATGCCCATGTAACTCTCCAGGAAATCGTCCACCTTGGCCACTGTGCGCTCCTGGAAGGCTGAGGGCTGGGTGGGGGCACAGAGGGGTTGGGGGGGTTCCCAGTATAGGGGGGGGTCTCCATGATGGGGGTGGTCAGGGATATGGGGGTGTCTCCATGATGGGGTGGGTCAGGGATATGGGGGTGTATCCATGATGGGGTGGGTCAGGGATATGGGGGTGTCTCCATGATGGGGTGGGTCAGGGATATGGGGGTGTAACCATGATGGGGTGGGTCAGGGATATGGGGGTGTCTCCATGATTAGGGGGGGTCAGGGATTTGGGGGTTCTCCATGATGGGGGTGATCAGGGATATGGGGGGGTCTCCATGATGGGGCTGGTCAGGGATATGGGGGGGTCTCCATGATGGGGGGGTCAGTTGTTTGATCCCCATGTTCAAAAGAAGCCGCTCCCCGATCCGGCTCCCAGCGCTGCACCGGTGGCACGGCCGGATGGAAACTGGAGCCGTGCAGTGAAGGAGAACAACCCCCAAACCCTTTCAATCTATGGGAGCACTGGGGCCGTCTGTAGAGACCCCACAGACAAAGCCTCAAGAGTGCCTGCAAGACACAGGGCACACGGGAGGAGCCCTGCTCAGGGTGTTTAAAGTGCCCTGGGCATGAATCCAGGGCTGGGAGGAACGGGTGGGATGGATCGGGTGACACCAGAGCTGCTGGCTGGAACAGCGAGAGGGGCAGCGCAGCCCTGCCTCCATCAGCCCCATCAGCTCCATCACCCCGTCAGCCCCATCAGCCCCATCAGCTCCTTCAGCTCCATCAGCCCCATCAGCCCCATCAGCTCCTTCAGCTCCATCAGCCCCATCAGCCCCATCAGTTCCATCAGCTCCATGGGCTCCATTGGCTCCATCAGCCCCACTGGCTCCATCACCTCCATCAGCTCCTGTGTTTCCAACCTGCCGGGCCCTTTACCTGCAGGGAATGGCCCAGCCAACTCCTGCAGTGCTAACACTGGGCCGCTTGCTTCTGCAGCTGCTGCACGCTCCTTGTGCCTCAGAACGCCTCTGCCCTAAGGAAACCCTTCAGCCTGCTGATAACCTGGGGGGATATTTGTGTCCTCCTGCCTGCAGGTCCATGGCGGCTGCCTGCAGCCTTTGTCAAGCCTTGCCATGGGCTGGGCAGGGGAGTGCAGGAACCGGATGCCTCAGCTGCAGGAGCTGCCCGTGAATGCCCCGAGCACAATGAGGCAGATGCAAAGCATCACTTGGGGGCAGCTGAACAGTCACAGCTTGAATGTGTGTGCTTGTAACGCAGCTGTGATCAGGGGCTGGGATCTGTGTGTAAAGCACCTGTATTTACTGGGCAGGTGCTGGTAAGAAACTGCACCTGGCATTGCACGGATTTGTCCCTTGTACAAGAGATGCTGGAGCGTGCACATCTGCAGCAGCTGCTAGGAAACGCTAAGGCAAAAGGCAGGAAGATGCCAATGGGATGGCAGTGTTCTAAAGCAGGCGTTGACAGCAGATCCCCGGAGCAGCCCAGGGCAGGTCAGGGTTAAGCCCCGAGAAGGCCCAGTGAAAGTGTGTTGTGTTTGGGCTGGTTTCAATGGCTGGATGGAGGATGGAGCTCCTGTAGAGCGCCAGGGCCGGGTTCTAAGGCTCTGAGCAGGGGAGAGCTCCTGTTAAAGTGCGTAATCCTGCCCCTCCTGCATGGGAAGGCCCGTTCCCTTCAATAACCTGGGCCGAGGCTGTGCTTGTGTTCCCACAGGTAAAGGACCTGGCTGGGTCCCTGCAGGATGGGCTCCTCCGGCCTTGTCTTCTGCCTCTTCCTCACAACAGGACTGCCCCTACCGTGGCTTCCGCCCAGCCACAGGAGAGCATCTGCAGGCAATGGACAGGACAAGACACCCTGTGCCTGCCGGGTGCCACAGCCAGGAGTGCTTTCAGGCTGCTGTGGGACGGCTGCATGGGGGCTGCCATTCCCTCAGCAGCCCCAGCAATGGCAGCCTCGCACCCTGTGCACACGGGGGATGCTGGGGGTACAACAACCGGGAGCTGTTTACAGCCACAAGACATTGATCTGGGAGCACTGTAAAATGGAGCTGGAGCTGCATTTTCACTCACACGTGCACATCCGTGTGTGCCCATGCTCCCAGGGAAGCACACACATGCACTTCCATCCCTCCACACCCGTGTGCAGCACACATGTGCCTACCCCTGCCCGTGTGTGCCCTGGGCACATACACACCCGTGCTGCGGTCCCTGACCGTGGGTGCACCCCTAAAGCTGCACACACTCATCCACCCTTGCACGTGTGCCCCAGGCACAGCCACAGCCACCCTGCTCTGCACACGCAGGCACCCATGGCCGGTGCACCCATGGCCACGCTCCCCGGGTCACAGCCCCCGGACAAGCCCCAGCACGAGCATGGATAAAGTGGGGTTTGGGGGCACAGGGCTGTAAGGGACATGGGGGACACATGCATGGATGCTACCACAAGAGGCAGCCAGGATGAAGCTGGGGGTCAGGGGCTCACTGCAGGGATGCTGAGGACAGGATGGGGACAGGTCGCACAGGCTGGCAGCAAGGTGGCATCTGATGGCTGGGAAAGGCTCCCTGGGGGCCGCAGCACTGGGACAGCAGCCAGGCCCTGCTGGACCACAGCCACCAGCACTGGGGCACCGACAGCATCAGGAGAGGGGCGGTTGTAGCAGCGGTCATGGGTGCAACCTCTGGGCATCCAGAGCCACTGGTTACAGTGGGGCACAGTGGTGGCACTGGGGCAGCACTGAGAGCCAGCCTCTGGCTGCCACATCCCCATTTAACCCAGGAAGTTCCTTGTCCCCATCCAGCCCTGTGTCCCCACAAGCTGTCCTGGGCCAGTGTCACCAGCAAAAGGCAGCAGTTTCACCCCCAGACCCACCTCAAGTGGGGCACTTCCCTGCACCATAGGTGATGCTTGGCATCCCCAGCCTGCTGGAGCAGTGACCCCCCTGTGGACCCACGCTGTGGGGCAGCCATGGGGCCAGCAGGCCCCTGTCCCTATCAACTGGCAGCAGTGCCTGCGGTGCAGAGCCCGCACGGGGCAGGGGACACAGCACAGGGGCTCCAGGGATCCAAGCATGGAAAACCGTCCCTGGGGGTGGCTGCGGGAGGCAGCGCTGGGCTCCCCCTCCTCCTCCTCCTCCTCCTCCTCCTCTTCCTCCACAGCCCCCTCTGAATGAGGCAAAGGAACCAGGAGCAGCCTGGAAGGTTTAATTGGAAGCTTCCAGGCTGGAATCAGGCAAAGGGGACACGGACACATAAATCCAGTAACTTTGATAGGGCCATGGGGAGGGATCCAGGAGCCACCAGTGCAAGAGCCTCATTGGCTGGGGGTGCGGGCAGGGGGCACAGGGGTGAGTTCTTTGGGCCTCCTCTTCCTGCCCTTCCTGGTGCTGCTCCTGCAACGAGGCTCTGAGGAAGACAAGAGCAGAGAAAGAGATGAGGCAGCTCCTGGGCAACAGCAGCAAACCCAGAGCCCCTCCTGAGGAGGATCCAAGCCTCCTCCTTCCCACCCCTCTCCAAGGACCCAGCGCCCTGCCCAAGGCTGTGGCTGCAGCCAGGAACAGCAAACCCCAAGCGGCATCTTCCAGCAGCACCAAACATCCCATTGCCAGGTGTCTGCCCCCCCAGGCTAGAACGGGGCTGGCACTGCAGCAGCTTGCTGAGGCAGGGAGCACTCCCACAGCCCATCCCGCTGCAGGGAAAGGGCTTCCCTGGGTGCCTGCCTGGGTGCGCAGGAGCACAGGACTCACCTGGGATGCGGGAGGGCTGCACACAGCTCTTGCTGCTGCGCTGCAGTTGGGCAGTGCAGCTCTGGAGCCCACCCGGGCAGGGGAAGGCGACGCTGTCAAAGAGAAAGGGACCATTTCAAAGGCCAGAGCTCAGGGCAGAGGCCCCCATCATCCCCAGCTGGCCCAGGGGAGCTGGCACAGACACAGGCAAGGATGGGGGCTCGAGCCCCAGCGGGGAGCAGAGGCAGGAGCTGCTGCACGGAGCACTGAGGGGCACAGGGTGCTGGTGCCTGTCTCACCTCTGCACTCGGCTCCGCTTCAGCGCAGGGGCTTTGGGGATGGAGGAGCTCTTCATGGCCAGCGCTGGGATGGGGGCTCTGCAGCCCAGGAAAAGAGGGTTAGTGCCAGGGGATTCCCCCCGAGAGCAGGGCCCCAGAGGGGAGATCCCCAAACACACACTCAGCCCATCCAGGGCAGCACTTACTCAGGCAGGAAGGGGCTCTCCTGCTCCGGTTGCTGGCACTGCCTCTTCTCCCAGTCCCAGCATTCCGACAGGGGGACGGGAACGGGCAGGATGGCGCTGGGGGATCTGCTGTGCGGGCAGAGCTCAAAGGTCACATTGAGCTCATGGGCAGGAGGGGAGCACTGGTTCGGGGTAGCTGACACAGGCAGGGGCACACGGCTCTGGGGGACGGGTTCTGGGCAGGATTCGGGGCTGTAACCCAGTGGCACCGGGGAGCCAGGGGATGCTGGAGCTGCGGATTCCAGCCAGGGGGTGCCTGGGCTCTGTGGGCTGGGAATCTCCGCTGCCTTCCCACATCCCTGCTGGCCTTGCATCTCCCCCTTGATGCAGCGGCGAGGTCCCGACCGGGAAGCACTGCCCAGCCCAGACTTCCTCCTCCCAGTCTTGCTCGAAGCCAGGGGCACACGGCTGGAGAATGGAGCAGGCTCCCGCAAGCCCTGCGGGGTGGAACTCATGGCAGGGGCGCCGCACACGGGGACAGATGCCTCATCTAAAGGAGCAGGAAAGAAGCAGTCACCTCTCTGCCTGCAGCTCCCAGGAATGCCCAGACCTCAGGGCATCCCCCTCTCCCCCATCACCGCTCAGTGCACATCTGCCCAACGAGCCCCACGGCAGTCATTTCCCAGCGGGGGTTTCCATCAAACCACATTAAACCCAGAGGAAAAGAGCCAGCACAAGGAATCCTGCCCCTGGCAGCCTCAAGGCACCAGCCTGCTCCCAGAGCAACTGCCTGGGGCAATGCCTGAGCTCTCCCAGGAAAACGGGGTCTGCGGAGCCCACAGCTTGGCTACGGGGTTCATGTGTTAGCAATGAGGATGAGGAGGAAGAGCTCAGCCCTGGTCACACGTAGGCCGAGGACACAGCCAGGGGGACTTGGGCAAACCAACCATGGAGACAAAGGAGAGGGGCCAGCACCAACCGTCCCCGATCCAAATCCTCACCATCCCAGCTCCACTTCATCCTCTTGGCTGCAGTGGCCCCGCTGAGCTCTGCAGACCTGCTCAGGGGCCCAGCTTGCTCAGGGCTCCCACCAGTGTCCTGAGGGACCAGCTGGGCCAGTTCCTGCAGCACAGACTCCAAGGCAGGAGTGAGCAGGTTGGCAGCCTTCAGAACAGAGTAGATCTTCCAGATGCCGCTCAGGCCAGAGGCCACAGGCCTGGGGACAGAGACAGGAACCAGTCAGCAGGTGAGCTTGAGCCAGTGTCACCAGGAACAGAGGCTCAGCACCAGCAGCATCACCTCTGAGACACCACCTCAGCTGGGGCAGAGCCCATCAGCAGAGGTTTGGGGCAAGGGAAGCAAACTGGAAGCTGTGAGGTGCCCAAATGTGAATCTCTTGCTGGAGAACACCGAGCTGTGTGTTCACCTGCTGCTTACAAGGGACCAACCAGCACCTACAGACCTCTTGCTGGCCTTCAGACACTCCTTGGCTTGGCTAGAGCCAGATCCAGGCCCACGTCAAGGCCAGCTTCCCCCAGGAGCCCTTTCTAAAGAGCTTCATTCTGCCCAGATGCTCGGGGCAGACCCATGAGCAGATGGTGCTGTGGGAGCCCTGCCAGGGCAGGACCTGGGGGAGCCAAGGCAGGAGCAAAGGCTTGAGAGGTAGTTTCAGAACTAACACCGCACGCTTCAGGCTCCAACAGTTGCTGTGCCTGGAAACCTTCAGAGCTGGCATTTCCAGGAGAGATTGTTCCATGGGATTAGATCCCAGGAGCCAAAGCCCTTGTGGTACAGGGCAGGCAGTCATCCGAAAGCAAAGACGTGGGCCCGTCTTCACCTAGACCACCCCCAGGATGGCTCCATGCAACAGCAGGGTGGGCACCCCACCTTCCACAGGCACCCAAGAGGACACAGGGAGGGCAGGAGGACACTCACTTCTCTGTGCGGCGGCCGGACAGCCCCTGCAGAGCGCTGCTTCCTCCAAGCCTTGGCTGCTTCAGTCCCAGCCGCAGACCTGCCCGATGGGATGCTCTAGGGCTGCTGGTAGGCATTTCCTCTGGAGCCTGGAGCAATCACCCCAAATTCCTTACCCATCCAGCCCAGGGTTAGCCCACGTTTGAGCTGAGTTTGGTCCCCAAATGCTTGTTCCCTGGGAAGTTAAGGGCTTTCACTAGCAAACCACAGCCCAGCACGTGCTGAGCCAGGACACACGGACCCGCCGAGCTCCTGCCATCTCCCAGCAGGCCCAGTGCAACCCGGGAGAGCCCCAGCTTCTTCTGGGCCCTGCTCACCACCCCAAGCCCTCCTGTGCTGCCCATCCCTCCTCTCACCTCCTCCTTCAATTCCAGCTGCGTTTGAACAGGCAAACCAGCCTGCAGCTCCTGCTGCTCTCCATCCTCCAACCTACAGAAGCCAGAGAAGCAGGCACTGAGCCAGAGAAGATCCTCTGCTGAAGCACCACTTTGCAAGAGAAGTTTTGGGGTGGATCAAGCACAACACTAGGCCTTTACAACCCAGCTTCCCTCGGGGCTTGTGTGCTCTGCTCCAGCAGGTTCAGAACCGAACCCAAGCACAGTCGAGATGATGCTGCACACCAGCAGCTCCTCTGCTTCCTGACAGGCCCCAGGCTCTTACCAGCACTAAAACCCTGCAGGCTCCTGGACACAGGGGACACCAGGAGGTCACTCACAAAAGCTCTCTTGCTTCTTTCCCCTCATCCTCACCTGGGCAGCTCCCCTGGGCTCTCGCTGGACGGAGCCTGTGGCCCTGCTGCCTGGTTCTCCGCCTCACGGGCAGCATCCTCATAGCCACGAAGCTTTGCCCTCAGCTCTGCCACCTGCAAGGAGGGATCTTCTGTTGCTCAGATGGTTTTCTGAGCCCTGGAGCTCAGAGGTTTGCATCCCAAAGAGACCAAAGCTACAGACAGAGCCCTGCCCTCCCCACCAGCATCTCACCTCCCCTCTCAGCCGCTCACACATCTCCACATATTCACAGACATGGGAGTCAGAGCTGTGCGTGTTGCTCTTCAGCTGCAGAGACGGGGATAAGACAGAGGTTAGAGAAGCCCTGGGGCAGCACATACCCTCTGCTGAGAGCAGAGCAGGGCAGCTCCTCAGCCTCCTCCAGGATGCAGGGTCCCCATGGAGCCCCAGTGAGGCTGCAGCACACACAGTCTGCACTCAGGGACCTACTGCCACAGGCACAAGCCTTTGTAGGCTCTGGGCTGGGGAGCTTTAGCAGAAGCCTGGGCACACACTGTCTGCAGCTCCAGCAGCTGCTTTCTGCCCACAGCAGCACCCCCAGGGCAGGAAAACTCACGCTGGACAAGGGATGCTCCCACTCATCTACCCCAGCATGCAGCAGACTCCCTCCCATCCAGCAGCAGCTCCCAAACCCACAACACATCAGCATCACCACATGAGCTCCTCACCGACAGCTTGATCTCCTTGGCCCTGCTGGCATACTTGAGGGTGTTGTAGGTGTCCTCATAGGCCAGCACCGAGGGGCTCACTGCTGCCACCATGACGCTGCGGCAGTTGCCCCCCAGGCAGTCCTTCAGCAGGCGTGTCAGCTTGCTGTCCCGGTATGGGATGTGGCTTTTCTTGCCCTGGAGCAAGAGAGCCAGGAGCTGCTCAGCTCTTGGCCCTGGGGCTCTCAGCTCCTTCCCCGGAGTCACCCCACAGCACCAGCAGCACTGAACCTTGAGGACACCGCTCACATTGAGCCCCCCCAGGGAGCCACGTGGGGAACAGCGTTACCTTTGCATCAGCCAAGGCGTTGATGACGTTGATGAGGGCCAGCAGCGAGCGGTTGATGTTGGCCCCCTCCCGCAGCCGCTCTCCCCTGGTGTTGGCGACCGACGCTCGCTCTGAGCCTGCCAGGTCAACCAGGCTCATCTTGGCCACCTTCAGCCCCCGACGGAGGCTGCCAGGGCAGTCCTGCTGCTTCACGTGGATCTGGGAGGACAGAGATGGGTGAGGCTGCAGCTCAACAAGGCACACGGGGGCGGTGCTTGGAGGCGGCTCAACAGCAGGGCAAGAGGGTGATGTTTGGAACAGGACGGCCAAGGGGATCGTGTGGGCTGGGAGGCAGAGAGGAGCCTGGCGCTCAGTGATGACAGGAGCAGCAAAACCATGGAAGGGATCCTGCAGGAAGTGACAGGGCTATGGGAAATAATCAGCATCTCCTGTGCTTGGTGCACGAGCAGGGCAGAGCCGGTTGGGTCCCCAGAGGGCAAAACATCACTCAGAGCCCCAGCCCCAGTGCATTTTGTCAAACTCAAGACACCAGTGTGGGGCTACAAGCACCCAAAAGGCAGTGGCTCTCTGTGCCCCCTTGCAGGCATCAGCCAGGGCTTCCAGTGCTGAGCCCAGATCCCAGCTGGTGTGGGCAGGGAAGGACACAGCCACCAAGGACTCATCGGGCAGCATCGCTCCCTAACTTCCCCTTCTGCATCCCTAAAGGTCTCCCTGCAGAACGCAAACGCTTTCCCCACAGCCTTAAAACACACTCAGCCCCCAGGGAACAAAGCCTGCATGGACTGGAGGTGCCATGGAACTGCTGGAGCCCACAACAGCTCCTGCATCCTCACCAGACTGGGCCGTGCCTGCCAGGAGGCAAAGCTGGCAGCGGGAAGGGCACATTTCCAGCACAGCCAAAGGATTCCCAGCAGGCAGGAATCCAGCACCCAGCAACAAACCCAGCTGGGATGCCACCTGGAAAAGCATCCAGACACGGGGATGTCCCCCTGCAAGCAGCCATGGGTGCGACACCAGGTTCAGACTGAAGCTGCAGTCAGAGCCCTCCATCTCCCCATGCAGCCGTGACCGCCCTGCTCGTTCAGGAGAGGGCCTGGCTGCAACTGAACTCAACTGGCAGGTTTGCACAGGAGAGCACCAACAAACTGGGGAGCCTGTTTGCAGAGCCCTGAGGGAGTGTAATTCCCAGCTCAGTGCCAAGGCAGACCCTGCTCAAGGCACGAGCACGAACCAGCCCCTTTGCTCTGGGGCAGGTTTTAGGGACAGCTCCCACACGCTGAGTCCACAAGAGTCAAAAGCACACAGTGAAGTTTCAGCCCCAAGAGACAGAACACCAAGCTGAGAGCATGGAGCTGCCTGGGAGGGGTGGCCACCAGCACGACCAGTACCTCCCATCCTGCGGCAGCGGGGCCAGGGCTCTCTTCAGCCCCATACCTCTTTGCTTTACCCCGTGGCACATGAAGAGCAGTGACAGGAACCCCAGTCCTGGCATGGCCTTGCTTCCTCCTCTCTTTTTAAGCACAAGCCCCCAGTGACACTGCATCCACCAGCCCTCACCTGGAAGATGGCATGAGAGCGGGAGGAGACAGCGTTGGCATCAGTGGGATGCTGCGTCCGGTTCCTGTTGCCGTTGGCCAGCATCTCCAGGAGCTGCTCTGCTGATGCCGGCTGGGAGAGAACAGGAGAGGGATGATACCAGTGTGCCCCATGTGCAGGCACAGACACAGCCCAACACAGAGCAGCCACAGCTCTGGCATCCTGCAGCACCGGGGGCCTCGTTTCAGCTCAGGCTCACGTTTGCTGCCAGGCAGGAGCTGTGCAGGCGGCACCCCCCTATCTTCAGACACCCCCTGTCTCCAGGACACATCTGCTTTCAGAACTGCTGGAGGGGCAGCACTGCCCATTCTTATACCTGCTGTGCCCATTTTAATACCTACCTGGTGGAAGGAGAGGCCCTGAACCACAGCTCCTCGCTCAGGATCCTCCCGGATAGCTAGAGGTCCCTTGGGCTCCAGCAGGTCATAGATCTGTTCGTTGTACACCTGAAGCAGGGAACTCAATGTAAGGCTGAGGTTTGGTTCCCCAGTGCTGAGCAGGGAGAGGAGCTTTGGACAGAAGGGTCACCCGTGACCTCGTGTCCCACTCCCAGCACCACCTCCAGGACATCACTACCCCCCGAGCAGCTGATGGTGCTCTAGGGGACAGCTCAGGAGGGCTTTCAAAGCAACTCACTTTGCCACAGCTCCTCTAAAGCCTTTCCAGCCAGGAACCCCTCATTGCTACGTGCACCATGGCAAGGAAGAGAAAATGCCACGACTCCAGACAGGAGAAACCAGGAACACCAGTTCACTGAACTGGCAGGGTGAGCTTGCGTCCAGCTGGGCTCCCGGGCTGCCCTGGGGACACTGGGTACCCTGAGCACCCTGAACGTGGCCCTACAGGGTCTGCATCCACCCCAAATCTTAGTGATAGAGACCCAGCTGCGGCAACCACAATGCACCTCCTGGTAGCAGACTAGGACCTCACAGCTCTGCTTTCTGGCCTCCATCCTCTTGTACAGCTCCACCATAGTCAAGTACATGATGCCAGGGCTGTGCTCCGAGCCCAGCATGGTGTGGGTTTTCCCTGCTCCGGTCGCACCATAGGCAAACACTGAGAGGAGAAAAGGTGAATGGGTGAAAGAGTGAATGGGAGCAGCAGAACGTCTGCTCCTTGCTGCAGAGGAGATGTGGAGACCTTCCCGCAGCAGCCCCTGCAGCAGGGCTCGCTCACCGGCTCCCAGAGACAAGGCAAAGCTCATTACCCTCTGCACTACCTGCAGCACCCTTCAGTGCAGGCTGTTTCCTCATTGCAGCCTCTCCAATCTAGCAGAAGCAGAATGAGTCCCCAAACCATCACTGCTTGGATGCTCCAGTCACCTCCAAACTCTTCCCTTTAACAAACCAAGCAGCCCCATTCCCCCATCTCCACCAGAATGGGTTTCTTCATCCAGCCCTCATAATTCATCTCATTTTTCCACCCCAGTCTTTCAACACCCTCTTTGAAACATCCCCATCAGACCAGGACACACTGATCTAGAGAGCCTCAGCCCTTCTCCCTGTTAGCAGCACTCGGGGCCTCGCCACTCTCTCCTGTGAGGATCCTGGAGCTCTCTTATGCAGACAGAGACACGAGCCGTGCCTGCCAGGTGGGCCCGGTGACAGAGGCAGCCTTCAGCGCCTCGCAGAGCACACGGGGAGCCAGGAATAGCATCCTGCAGCGCCAGTGCCCGGCCCGGCACACGATGAGACAGGAGCGCGCTGTCTCCCGCTCGCTGCCTGCCTCGCACAAGGGACGGGCTCATTAAGGCACCGTCTGCTGACAGCCTGCAAACGGCACAGGGGCTGCAGCACCACGAGAGGAGCTTTCAGGCCCAGCTTCATGGAGCTGCCAGCGTGGGAGATGCTCAGGAGGGGGACAGCAACCCCCAAAGCACCCCAAGATGTGGCAGCTGCACCCCAGATGCCTCCCCAAACCTCAGCATCCCCTGTGGGTGCAGCCCCACATCCAACCTACCTTCACTTCTGCCACAGAGCTCTGCTGACTCCTGCTCAGGTCAGTGCCCACCAGAACCCACAGCTCCCTCCCAGTCACCCAGATCCCAGCCTGCTCCCAGCTCCTGGGTTATCCCATCACATCTGTGTTAAACCACACAGCCTTCTGGTTGGACTTTCCCAGCCCAGGCAGGTCTCTCCCACAAACCACATCACATCCGGAGCACACTTGCCACCACTAAGGGATGCAACCAACAAGTTGAAGGCTGCAGGTTTTGCACTGCTGTTGTGCCCCCCCCCCTTCCCCACTCCCAACTGCCTGGGGGCTTCCAAACTCAACCCCCAGCTCCCCCAGGCAGACGGGGCAGGAGCTCCCACAGGACCCAAGCCATTGGCCGGCTCTTACCAGAGCAGTTGGAGCCCTCGAGGACGCTGTCCAGCAGCCCGGAGGCGCTGTGCTGGAACACCTCCTCCTGCGTGGCCTCTTCCCCAAAGACCCGGTCAAAGACAAACTCCAGGTCCTTGCCCTTGGGCCCCCGCGCGGGCTCCGCGGGGCTGAGGACGATGCCGTGCTGGTTAACGACGCGCACGGCCGGGGGCAGCGCCCGCTCACTGCGGGCCAGGGGCCGCACACGCACCACGACAGCCACGGGGCCCTCCTCGGCCGGGGGGCACGGCCCCATGGTGGCAGCAGGGACAGGCACCAGGCTGCTGGGACAGCTCCGCTCGGAGCTCCAACGTCTCACACCGGACCTCGCACACTGCGGGAGGGCAACGGCTCAGAGCGGGGGAAGCAGCTGAAGGGGGGGGTCCTGGAGCTGGGCAGGGCCTTGCGCACCCACCCCTGCCCTAACCCCAGAGCCACCGGTACAACCCCAGAGCCACCGGTACAACCCCAGAGTTACCGGTACAACCCCAGAGCCACCGGTACAACCCCAGAGCCACCGGTACAACCCCAGCGTTACCGGTACAACCCCAGAGCCACCGGTACAACCCCCAGCTGCCTCCCCAACGCCCCCACATCCCCTCCACCCCGGCACCGTCCCCGCCCCTCCGGGCCCCCACAGCCAATCAGCCCCTCCAGGACCCTTTCCCACAGCCCTTCCTACCGCCTCGGACCCCTCACACCGCCGCCCCTCCAGACCCACATCCCCCCACAACCCCTACAGACGCCCCACATCACCCCCTGAGCCCCACCCACTCCCCTCAGGCCCCTTTGCGCTCCCTCCAAGGCCCCCCCCATCTCCCACCTCCACTCTCCACACCGGCCGCGCTCCGTACTCAAACGGCAGCTCAAGACCCGCCCTCAATTCTGATTGGTCTCCTTGAAGCGGCTCCCCTCCCCATTGGCTCCGAGCGCGACGCGCCCCGTGAGGTGCCCCATGGGAGTTGCAGTCCTGCCGTGCCCTGGCCGGCCGCCATCTTGCCCCGCTTTGCTCCGTGCCGGGGCGGGCCCTGAGGCGGCAGAGCCGGCGGTGCCAGCGGACGGGGAGCAGAGGAGGGCCCACGGGGGGCTGAGGGGCCTGAGCTCTGCCCCCAGTGCCAGCTGGTGCAGTGGCTGCAGCCACCCCAGGCCTTAATGGTGCCCTCCTCAGCTGACAGCCCTGGCACTAAGGAGCCTCCCGGTTCCCTGGTGCTGAGGATCCCAGGGCCCCCTCCCGTCCCCAATGGCTCCGTCCTCGAACCCGGCCCAGGAGGTGGCCGCTGCCCCCGGGCCCCCGCTCTCAGCGCTCATTGGGGCCGGTCCTGCCCGTGCCGAGGGGAGTGAGCCCGAGGGTCCCCACGGCTCCGCGGGGCCTGACCTCATCCCCCCGCCATGGCCCTGAGGGACCCCACCATGGGGCTGTGGGGACAGGGACGTGGAGGGGGGGCACCCGCAGTGTCCCCATGGAGGTGGCCCCGGGGACACCAAGGGAGCCCATCCCGAGCGGGGTTGGTTGGGGGGGGCACAGGGAAGGGGGCCTTTGGCTCTGCCCCCCGTGGGGACACAGACAGCAGACGGGGGGAGGTCACAGCTCGGCTTTACCATGGAGCCCCCCCCCCCTGCCCCAGTGCAGCCCCCCCAGTGCACAGGGCTGGGGACAGGGGGGCACCTTCATAGACATCTCCATGTCCTGTACATCCATACAGCAGGACCCCCCCGGCCCCGGCAGCGCCCCGCGTGTGGGGAGGCAGTGGGGAGCCATGGGGCCAGGGAATGGGGGTGCAGTGGGGAGGTCCCCAGCTTCTTGCTGGCCCCCCAAACCCCTATTCCCCCCCCCAGCCCTGAATTAGCAGCCATGGGGTCAGCTAACGGGAAAGAGGGGTTTTGGGGCACCACAGATGGCTTGGACCACTGTGGGGGGGGGATGCTGTGGGGCTGAACCATGGCAGAGGGAAGCTGTGGGGCTGGTCATCAGTAGGGAGAGGCAATAGGGGTGGAGAGCAGTGGGGAGAAACCATGTGGCTGGATAGCAGCAGGGGGATGCTGAGGGGCAGTGGAGGTTACCATGGGGTTGGGGGGATTCTGTTGGGCCAGACCACAGCAAGGGGATGCCATCAGCCCCATCAGCCCCACTGGCCCCCCATCAGCCCCACTGGCTCCATCACCTTCATCACCCCATCAGCTCCATCACCTCCTTCAGCTCCATCAGCCCCGTCAGCTCCGTCAGCTCTGTCAGCCCCATTGGCTCCATCACCTCCATCACCTCCATCAGCCCTATTGGCTCCATCACCTCCATCACCTCCTTCAGCTCCATCAGCCCCGTCAGCTCCGTCAGCTCTGTCAGCCCCATTGGCTCCATCACCTCCATCACCTCCATCAGCCTTATTGGCTCCATCACCTCCATCACCTCCATCAGCTCCATCAGCCCCATTGGCTCCATCACCTCCATCACCTCCATCACCTCCATCAGCTCCATCAGCTCCATCAGCCACCAGCCAAGCAGCATTGAGGGGCAGGAGAAGAAGAAACCAAAGCGAGATGAGGCAGAGCTGGAACAGGAAGGAGCCAGTGCAGCTCCTGTGTTTCCAACCTGCCGGGCCTTTTACCTGCAGGGAATGGCCCAGCCAACTCCTGCAGTGCTAACACTGGGCCGCTTGCTTCTGCAGCTGCTGCACGCTCCTTGTGCCTCAGAACGCCTCTGCCCTAAGGAAACCCTTCAGCCTGCTGATAACCTGGGGGGATATTTGTGTCCTCCTGCCTGCAGGTCCATGGCGGCTGCCTGCAGCCTTTGTCAAGCCTTGCCATGGGCTGGGCAGGGGAGTGCAGGAACCGGATGCCTCAGCTGCAGGAGCTGCCCGTGAATGCCCCGAGCACAATGAGGCAGAGAGAAACGAATGATTGCAAAGCATCACCTGGGGGCAGCTCCACTCCACAGCCAAATGTTGAAGGGGAACCCAAGCTTCTACGGTTCTGCTTCATCCCTGCATCCAGCTGGAGTATCCCTCTTCCAGGCTTGGGATCTTCCCATAGGACCTCACAAGCTCCAAGGTTGTATCCATCCCAGCACCAAGCACCCATCCCAGCTCCCAACACCCATGCCAGCACTGGGGTCCCCAGTGCCAGGAGCAGGGACTAGGCCCAGGGCTCACCCTTGTTCGTGTCACTGGATCACCATTAACCCCAGTAACTGCCACTGGGACTCCATTAACCCCTCATCCTATTAAGATCCCATGAAATCCCATTAGGACCCCATTAATCTCCCCTGAGGATCCCACTAGGACCCCATTAATATCCCTTTAGGACTCTATTAATATCACATTAGGACGCCATTAATATCCCATTAGGACGCCATTAATATCCCATTAGGACAATAGGAGCCCTTTAGGACCCCATTAATATCCCATTAGGATCTATTAAGACCACATTATATCCCAGGGGATCCCATGAAGACCCCATTAATATCCTATTACTATCCGTCTAGGACCCCATGAAGATCCCATTAGGTACCCATTAGGATCCCTTTAGGACCCCGTTAGTATCCCATTAGAACCCCTTTGGGACCCCATTAAGGTCCCATTAGGATCCATTAAACTGGTCCTAGCATCCGGGCGGCGGGCTGTCCCATTGGGTCTCTTCCATTGGGTGTCATCCGTGCCCCCCCGGCCCACCCCTCCACCACAGTGAGTGTGCAGTGGGGGTGCAATGGGGGTGCAAACCCAGCCCCCATCCTTGCACACAACCCCCCCCTCCCCCCCAATTCTCCTCTTTATGGTAAAATCACCTTTAGTGGCAGAGACAAAAATAAGCCCCGGATGGGGGGGATGGACACACAGACGGCACAAGACCCCCCCATAACAGCCCCCCCCAATAGGGACACAGTGACCGGGAGGGGGGGTTGTGCTGTGCCCCCCCGAGGCACTCAGTGCGATGGGGGGAGGGCTCAGGAACAAACTTGCAGCCCCGTTTCCAAGCTGACAAGCAGGTATTCTTTATTGCGGCGCCGGGAGACACGGGGAGAGCTCCTCCTAACGGGTGTCCCCAGTGCCACCCAAGCCGTCCTTTCTAGTCCCTGGCCATACACACATATTCAGGAGGCTACGGGGGTTTACACAGTTTCCCAGATACTTCCCCCATGCGTACACAATTGTGGTGCTGGTCTCTGAGGGTCCTTTACTTCTCCCAACAATCTTCATCACTTCTGGCAGCCTCTGAAGCACGCGCAGTAGATGCTCATACCACTTTAATTGCTTCGTTAGCACCAGAGACGTAATAATCCTCCTGTCCTCCTACTTATCTGTTAGTTTACCTGCAGCCCATCCTGGACCCCTGCAGTTCCCAGATACTCCTTGTCCCTGTGTCCTGTTCTTCTAGACTGTTTTTCTTAAAACTATGCCAACGACAACGATTTACCTTGTGAGAACTCTCACTACGTTCTCTAGCTGTGCTCTGGTTTTTTCCTCTATGTATCATGCACCTCAATCATTTTCCATTGCTACTGTTACAAAGCCATCAAACTGAACATTACTGAAAACCAATTCTAAAGGTTTCTATATTCCATTTTGCGATTTTGTGCCCCTTTGTCTCAAATTCCCCCCTTTTTCTGTCCTTTTGCAAATCCTTCTGCAACATTTTATGTATTACCTTTACCATCAAAAGTCTGTTTGAAATATTTCCCGTTTCTACTTGATGCTTAATTTCATTCCTTTTCCAATCTTCGTAATCTATCATAGATCCTTTACAACACCAGAGGGAACACTGAATCATACCACAAGTAATCAATATTAAAATAATTAACACCTATATTCCTGCAACCAGTTGCCTCAACCAGGAGAGACTGGGTAACCATGAAGTTAACTTTTTCCGTATTTCTTCAAATCCCCAGGAGGTGTCATCCGTGGCCTTTTCACGAAATATCTTAGTTTGTTTCCAAATTTCCTCCAGATCTGTTTCAATTCTGCCACTTTAGTCTGCAGAGGAGCAACAATTTCCATTCGTTATGGAAGAAACCCCTCTTTGTGATGCCAGTCTAGAGCCATTCGGTTTTGTAATATCACCTTAGATAGGCTAGTTATCTCTTGTTGTTCTGCCTGGATTATATCATGTTTTTACTTGCCATTTCCTCTATGGTTGCTGAGATATTTACAATTGCCTTCTCTAATTCACTTACTGCCAAAGATGGACTGAGCCCTCTTACAAAACCATGAGATGCGGTGTGCCGTTCAATAACAGGGTTAAACCCTCGCTTCATTTGTTTAGCAAAACTTCCAGTCCAGGCCCCGGAAGGAAACCTGTCGATAGTCGTGAAATTGGGTATTACAGCACCTAAGGTGCATGCCCCCTTCCAGT